ATTATTTTGCTTATTTTATTAATTCATTATTATTCTAATAATTTTGGAAAGTTATAAACTTTAGAGAAATTTTTTTTTATTGTGAAAAACAATTTGGACGGCCTGGGGATTGAACGCGGGGTTTGACGGACGGAAACGAAAACAAAATAACCAACATAACCAACTGAGCTAAACGACCAACTACTGATACAAAAAAAATCTTTCTCTTAAGTTACATGTGATTTTATTGGTTGACAGAAGAAAGGCAGGTTAATTTAAAAATCTGTTTTTTGCATATCTCGTATAATTAAAATATTTTCATTATTATTGCGAATGATAATTTTAAATCAAAATTTTAAGTATTTAGTATTCAAATAAGACTGATAAAATAAACAAGTTAAATACGATAAAAATAAAAAATGTTGTACACTTTTTTGAAAAAAATGTAATAACCTTGATTCGCCAAAGACAATTTTTATCAATGGTATTAAAATAATCAATTATTTTAAATTTATTTAAAAACGGAAAAAAATTTAATTGCTTTGATTTACCAATTACAATTTTTTACTAAGAAACAGAAACCGTGAAAATTTTCCCCATTTTTTAAAAATAATATAGAGAATTGTATTAAAACGATATAACAGTGTTGCTACAATTTCTGGAAACCTGGAAAACCATGGAAAAATTCTGGTTCCGGCTATAGATACATCCTCACAGATTAAAATGCTTTTTGATTTTTTTAATTAGTTCAGTCAATTAGTCAGTATCGTGGTCGCCGATAGACGGCGTTTTTATGATCATCATTACTTTCCAGTTTTATAATTCAGAATCATTAAAATATTTTCACTTGCAAAAATTTTAATTTGTTGTTAAAATGTAACTGAATATATGGTAAAAATTTTAAAGTCCTTAGTTTCCATGGTTCTTAAAAAGAAAATAAAAAAAAACTCTTAAAAAAACGTCTGTCACACGGGGTGACCCCCTTAAGGTACTACTACACTTTAAAATTTTTAAAAATATTATTTTCTTTTATTGTATTTTTTAACTCCTTATGACTCCAGAAAACACCTCCTAAAGTATTTATAACCAATTGTAAAAAATAAAAGTAAATTTTTCAAAAAATATTCAATTAACGTAAAAAGTAATTGACAAATTAAGTAAGTCTTTAAGGGGATGGTGGGGTCCAGCTTTTTGTTACGACCAATAGAAACACTGGTGCTAATGTATGTAACAGTGTCTGACATAAAAAAATGGTGGGGTTTCAATTTGCAAAAGAATTTTAGATAATTTATGGATGGTCTCTATCGATACATATAAGTTTAAACGCGTTTTTCTCAAAATAACGTTTTCTCAAATTGCGGACAGTTTATTTCTGAATCTACTGAACCGATTTTAATAAATAATAAATTTACCAGAAAATGGTCAAAAAATTAAAAAAAAACATTTTTCCACACTCAAAAAAAATACTGAAAAACATAGTGTATTTTAATAAAAATTATTTAAACCTCTGCTATTTTTTTATTTTAGTCCATTTTTTATTAATGTTGGTAGATTTATATGCAATACACCTTCCTTTTTAAAAAGCAATTTGGTTTTTTTGTTTCCGATTTATCAATCTTGAGATAAACTGTCCGCAATTGGACAACTAACATTTTGGAGTTTCGATCTGTATGCTGTCTGCAGATTATGATATTAAATAAAAATTAAAAACAAACCATTATTTTTATTCTCCAAATATGTACTAATATAGGCAAAAAAGTTTTTTAAATATTTATAATAAAAGACCTAAGAAATTTTTTTTTTAATTTGGTCTTTTAAGAGCCTTTCAAAGTGTAGAGAGTACCTTAAGAGTAAAAAATTATCAAAATAAACATTGCACATTTGAATTGAAATTTATTTTTAATTTTAATTTTTTTTAGGTCAAAAAAATTTTTTTTAAATGCTAATTTTCAATCAAAAGAGCATGAAAAAACCCTTCAAAACTATACTTCGCAAAATTTGTACGTTTAATTGTTTAAGAGTAAAAAATTATTAAAATAAACATTGCACATTTAAATTCAAATTTATTTTCAATTTTTATTTTTTTAGGTCAAAAAATTTTTTTTGTCAAAATGCTTATTTCCAATCGAAAGAGCATGAAAAAACCTTTCAAAACGTTACTTGGCCAAATTTTTACGTTTAATTGATAAAGAGTTAAAAATTATCAAAATGAACATTACACATTTAAATTAAAATTTATTTTTAATTTTGATTTTTTTGTCAAAAAATTTTTTTTTTAATGTTAGATCTCTAATCTAATATTAAAAGAGATCTCTCTCTAATCTCTTTTGACCAATGTAAAGACAAAAGTTAAACTGGGTGTCTATTATTTTCGTTTAACAAAATTTACGTTGTTTTCCTAGCTTTGTCCAAATTTTTTTAAGTGCATCTATTCTCATCAGATTTAAATTTGCTTGATTTTAACCATAAATAAAGCTACAAATGGCGGACGGCGTACGGGTTTTTATTTCTACTAATACATTTAACTGGGTTTCTGTACCAATCCTGAAAAAAGGGAAATATCCAGGAATTTAATTTGACCGGGAAAAACTGGGAATAAGCCGGGAATTTTCTTATCAAATTTAAAAAAGTTTGCTTACATTAATTCGTTTTTAAAAAATTGCTTTTTACTTTAATTTTTATTGATGTAATCATTATAATAATTATACAATTAGTTCAAATTAAACTCTACTAAAACTCCAAAAATTGGTGAAAACTTTGAATTAATTTTTAATACATTATGCGCGTGCGTTATAGTGATAGAACACTACTGCGTATGCGTTATAGAACACTACTGCGCATGCCTGACATTGGTAGAACACTACTGCACATGACTGACATTGACAGAACACTACTGCGCATGCGTTATAGTGATAGAACACTACTGCGCATGCTTGATACTGATAGAACACTACTGCGCATGCGTTATAGTGATAGAACACTACTGTGCATGCGTGATACTGATAGAACACTACTGCGCATGCGTTATAGTAATAGAACACTACTGCGCATGCGTATATGTATGTACAATGAGTATATGTAGTATCGTATACTATGAATAAATGATAAAAGTCGAACGACCGAACAATGAAGTACGGAAGTACACGAACGACGGACGACAAAACAAATTAGGTGAAATAAAGTTTCGGCAAAACGAAAATTATGTTAAATAATCTTTCTGACAAATAAACATTCGGCTGAATGCTACTTCGAGGTAAGTGAATTTCTGTTAAATAAACATTAGAGCAAATAGGATATAGTTTATATGACAATTCTGTAAAAAGGAAATACTGGTAAATAATTATTCCAGACAATGGTAATTATAACTAATGTCATTTCAATTAAATTAAATTTATAACTCATTACATTTAGAGCAATTGATATTTAGGTTAAAAAACATTTGGAATAAAAAAATGTTAATTAATGATTTTAAAAAATAGGAATAATAACAGATGAAATATCGGAAAATCGAAAATTAGTCCAAACAATTAATTGAACAAATGAAAATAATGTCAAATGTTTCTTCGGGCTAACGAAATCTCTATTAAATAATATATCTGCAAAATAAAAATTAGAGCTAATGAATCATCGGGAAAATTAAAATTAGATTAAATAATTATTCTAATAAATATAGCTTATGGCAACTGGTGATTCGGCAAAGTGAATTTCGGTTACTTGTTATTATGTCAAATGGGATTTGTAGAAGATTGATGCGTCCCAAAATTTAAAGTTTTTTAAAAATAAAGGAAAAAATCCAAACAAAATAACAGCACAATATAAAGTAAAAAATTGTTTATAAATTCTATTTGTCAATTACGAATTTTAATTAAAATTGAAACTTTTTAAATTTTTAGAAAATAAATTAAAAAATTTTACTCAAAAAAATGTTCTGTTACATTTATTTATTAATTTCTTTTAAATAATTCGAAAACATCAATAATTTGTTTTTCAAATAAATATTTTATTATTATTCTTCTTCCATATGAATTAAGATTTTCAAAAATTTCAAATTCAAACATTTTTGAAATTACACAACTTATAAAAAATTGTTTTAAAACATGAAGAAATCGATCACTCCGAGTCTTCCGCTCGGAGCAATAGATAACTTCATGTTTAATAAGAGTTAAAGATGACCGAGTGATAAAATCATTATTTTATATTTGTTGTGTTCAAGGAAAATCACTTTAAGTAAATTTAATGGTTGTTTATTAGAAAGTTTAATGTTACAATTACATGTTAAAGGAAATGATTGAATTGTTTAAATAGTTCTCCACATGACACCGCAGTAAAGTCTCTCGCTCGTACTTTCACGAGCCACTGACTGGAACTGGCAACACTCAAAGGTTAGGCACTCCAGATGACGCAACAAGATACATGACGCGAAGATAAGTTTAAATTTGAATACACAACATTCCTCCCGTGAAAGAAAATAAAACAAAAGGTCTTTAAAAATGTAAACGGTCTGGTTTATGTCGTATCCTTGTCGATCTGCGCACTGGTGTCTGCAAGCCACTGTTCTGCTGATCACTGCATCTTGATTCAACTGTAGATTGATGTCCACGATGTATTGAAGGAGATACCAGATTCGGTATTGATGGAGTTAGAGATCTAGCAATTAATTCAGTGTTCTCGTTACTTTGATTATCATAAAAATGGACTTTTCGTTGAAAAATCTTGTTGTCATCTGCTTGAAGGTTGGGTTTAAATTTTAAAGAAGGTCCTCTAATTTGATCAACGTGACGTTTCAAGGATTTGTTTTCAAATTCAATTTCGTAATGTGAATCTCCTAGTCTGGTGATGATTGTACCGTATAACCATTTTTCCATTTTTGGGTTTCCAGATAAGAAATAGACTGGTTGAGATGGGGTGAACTCTCTGAACGATGAATTGAATGAAGCTTGCTGTTTTTCAATAATTTTGGTGTTGACAACCTCCGGTCTGACGAGATCCAGCTTAGTCCTGATGTTTCGACCCAGGAATAGTTAAGCAGGAGATTGATTCGTAGTCGAGTGAGGAGCTTTGCGATAATGTTGTAAAAATGTGTTGAGATTCGATTTGAGCGTTGCTGGTGTAGAAGACAAAGACTGTAAAGCATCCTTGACCGTTTCCACGTAGCGTTCTGCTTGTCCATTTGTAGACGGATGATATGGAGCTGTCAATTTATGATATTTCACTCTCACTGACTCCATGTGGATTTTAAATTCATCTGATGTAAATTGAGGTCCGTTGTCGGAAACTACTGTGATAGGAACTCCATATGTTGCAAACAGTTTATCGAGAATTGCGATGGTTGCTGAAGATGTCGTAGAATTAGTGACTATAACCTCCAGCCACTTACTAAATGCGTCGACGACAATCAACAACATAGATCCACAGACTGGACCTGCGTAATCGATGTGGATTCGTTCCCAAGGAGCTTTAGGATATTCCCAATAATGGCTGCGAAATTTTGGAGGAGCATGTGCGTGTCGAGCACATTCTGAACATAATTTGGCGATTTGTTCGATGTCTTTATCGATTCCTGGCCAGTAGACGAATGATCTGGCAATTCCTTTCATTTTTACTATTCCTAAATGTGCTGCATGGAGATCTGCCAAGATTGGTTCGCGGAGAGATTCCGGGATGATAACTCGATGTTCAAAGATTAAACAGCCTGATGAGAGAGAGTGACTTCTGGAGCTTTGTAACCATGTCGTTTAAGATCGTTACCAGTTTCAAGAAGTTAAACAATTTTACCAAGAATTGAATCCTTTTTAGTTTCTTTGGCGATGCTTTCAGCGCGTACTGGAAGCTGCTTGATCTGACAAATCATGAATTCGCTAAATTCGTCATGACTTTCCTCCCTGACAGAGAGTTTGTGAATTGAGTTTGCTTCTTCAGTTCCAGGTAACGGTGCACGTGAGCAGTAATCGGCATTTGCATTTTCCTTTGTCGGTTTGAAAATGACATCGTAATTGAAGTGCGACATGTAATCTGCGTAATTCACCATGCGACTGATGCACAAAACTGGTAGAGACTTCGCTGGATGAAGAATCTGCGTGAGGGGCTTGTGGTCCGTAATGAGTGTAAAATGACGAGCATACAGCTAATAAAAGAATTTCTGAACGGCCCAGACGATTGCCAATGCTTCTTTGTCGATTTGTGGGTAACGTTGTTCGGTTTCACTCATTGTGCGGCTGGCGTAAAAAATTCGACGCTCTCGTCCATCAGGAAGTCGATGTGAGAGAACTGCCCCGAGTCCTGTTTTGCTAGCATCAGTTGCGAGCAGCAAAGGCAACGATGGATCATACTGCATGAGAACCTGTGGTGAAATCAAAGCGTTTTTAATTGTCTCGTAGGCTCTGTTAGCTTCTGGAGTCCAAACAAATTCGTTTCCTTTGAGGATGTTTCGAAGGGGTCGATCTTATGTTTACAAGCTTGGAATGAACGAATTGTAGTAAGTTGCATTACCCAGAAATAGTTGAAGTTGTTCTGGAGTTGTTGGTTTAGGAGCATCGAATTGCCTCAATGTGCTTGTCCGATTTATGAACGCCATTAGCGTCGATCCTGTGCCCCAAAAATTCAATCGATGTGGAAACAAAGATACACTTACTTCGATTAAGATGTAGACCATGAGATCTCAATCGGCTGAGTAATTCATCCAAAACTTTTAGCATGTCCTCAAAATCCTCTCCATAGGCAAGAATGTCGTCGAAGAAAACACGAACCTTTTCAAGGTAACGAACAACTTCCTCTATTCGTCTTTGCCAGATTGCTGGAATATTTGCTGCACCGTAGACGGCTCGCTTAGGTCGAATCAGTCCATGTTTTGGTGTGTTTAGCGTGAGAGCGTGACTGAACTCATCGTCAGCCGGGAGATGCAAATATGCGTCGGTAATATCCAGGTGGCAGAAAAATTTGGCACCATTCATTCCAAGGAGAATGTGTTCTGTTTTCGGAATCGGATGTTCGTCTATTATAATTTGCGGATTTAACGTTGACTTGTAATTACCCGTGATTCGAATACCGCCGTTTTTTCGAGCAACGACGTGTGTGGGAGAAGCCCATTCAGCATAGTCAACTTTTACATAAAGTCCCGAAGCGAGTTTTTTTCTATTTCTTTCGAATAAGAGTCTCGTAACGCGTGTGGAATTTCGCGAGCACGAGAAAAGACCGGTCGGGCATCGGGCTTGAAATGAACAGACACTTGTGGACCTTTAAGTTTTCCTGGATTTGTGCTAAATATATCGTCGAAACGATATAAAAGTTGATTTAAACGATCCGATTGATTTTTGGTAAGTTCGGGAGTCGACGCTTTAACCGTGCACACTTTACTATCACGTGAGAATAGTTTATGAAAATCGATTTCCGACACAAATTCTGTTATCCACTCGCGACCGAATAATGAATCGAAATCATCCTCAACAACATGCACGACAAGTTGTTTAGAACTTCCACCGACTGTAACATTGACTGATATTTTACCCGCACTCTTTATCAAATGACTAGTGTAACTTGAAAATTGACGGTCTGATTTTTGTAACACGTAATTACGTTTGAATGATCTCAGCGTTTTGAGACTTATTATTCCACACGGTGCTCCTGTGTCGAGTTCCATTTGTATGGGGGAGTTATCGAGAAAGACTTGAATAAACTGTTTTTCACTAGATTTAAAAGAACTAATATCTTCTATTTTATTGAAGCACTGCACAATATCAATGTGATCAGCTGGTTGATTTACTGACTTTGAGTTTGAGGTTAAGGTTAAGGGTTTTTTTGAACGACACACACGAGACAAGTGACCTTTTTTTCCACATGTATGACACACTGCGTCTTTATATTTACAATCTTTTCGCGCGTGATTGCCACTACAACCGTTACACGAATTATCGGATTGACTTGATTTGTGTTGATCGCTTTGTTGACTGCGATTTCGAGATAAAGATCTGTTGCGCGGTTTGTTGTTTTTTATTCGCGACGGTGTGTACCCGAGTTTATTTTTCAGGTTCTGGTTTCGTGTTGCTTCGAGGGAATTCGTGACTTCGTACGCTGCCAAGAAAGTGGCGGGCTTTTTCGCGATAATTTCGTCACACATTTCACGAGACTCCAATCCGTGGAGAAGTTGTTCAATTAGCATGCGATCGAGAAACTCACCATATTCACAATAGGCGGCGCCTTGTTTCAGGCGAAGTGCGAAGTTTGCCACTGTTTCGCCTTTCGATTGGCAAATTTGTCTGTACCTAATGCTCTCGGCGTATTTATTTCGTTGACTGTCGAAATGATCCGTAAGAGTTTTTTTAATATTTGCGTACGAAATACTTTCAGGCAACTCTGGAGAAACGAGAAATTTCAAAGCGTTGTTCAATTCTGATCCCATGTGAACACGAGCATAATTAGCATGTGATTCCACTGGAATTTGACTCAATTGCAGAGCCCAATCAAAACGCTTAAAATAATCCGCTATAGTCGTTCTTTGCGAAGAACGAAACTCGGTGATCGAGAAAGATGGGGGTTTCGGTGTGTCGTTTCCTTGAAAATTTTAGGAGGAGGCTCAGAGAGCCGCGGTAAATGCTTCAGTCAGGTTTTTCAATAATTCCTCTGACGCCATTTTTTCTTCCCGTTTACTTTTCACAAAATACACTTGTATTATCACACTTCTGACACCAATTGTTGTGTTCAAGGAAAATCACTTTAAGTAAATTTAATGGTTGTTTATTAGAAAGTTTAATGTTACAATTACATGTTAAAAGAAATGATTGAATTGTTTAAATAGTTCTCGACATGACACCGCAGTAAAGTCTCTCGCTCGTACTTTCACGAGCCACTGACTGGAACTGGCAACACTCAAAGGTTAGGCACTCCAGATGACGCGACAAGATACATGACGCGAAGATAAGTTTAAATTTAAATACACAACAATATTATAAAGAAAATTGTTACTGTAGGTAACTTCTTCAAAATTATTTTTATCATTTTGATTAAATTATTATTTTCTGAAATTTTTAATTAATATTTATGAAAATAATTCAATTAAAAAAAAATTCTTATTTATGAAAATAATGGAATTATTGCGAATTACAGAGAAAGAAAAAAAATTTGGTCGAAAATTGTTCCAGTTACGAATTTTTTTTGGCTTTTTTACATTTTTTGGTTTTATGAAAAGGGCGGGTGAGAAAGCTGGCAATTAAAAGATTATTAAAAAGAATTTCGCAGTAGTCACCATTTAAAGAGCAATATTTCCTCTTTAATTTCTGACATTGAAAAAAAAATTTGGTCGAAAATTATTTGAGTTATGAATTTTTTTTTTGTAATTTTTCAAAGAATGACGCTAAAAACACCTGTTTTTTAGCCCATTTTTCGGACCGCGAATTTTTAAATCAAACATATTCTAAAATGCGCCGTATAAAGGGATATTATTTTAATAACCATTTTGAGTGGAGCATATCCTTTGTTTTTGGGGTATAGTGTTAAAATGGGGGTTTAGAGGGGTTAAAAGGGGTTAAAATACCAAAAATTAAATATGCTCAGATTCGCTGGAAATTGGTTACTCGGGGGGTTTCGGGGTCGCTGATTACCAATCCAATGTCAGTTTTTTAAAATTCAAAATGGTTGATCCGAAATGGCGGAAGACATTTTCAAAAATTTATTGGATTCACTTGAAACTTGTTACTCAAGGGTTTTCGGGGTCGCTGATTACGAATCCGAAATTACATTTTAAAAATTCAAAATGGCGAATCTAATATGGCGGACATTTTCAAAAATTCATTGGATTCACTTGGAACTTATTAAAAATAAATAATTAATTAAAAATAACGTGGAACTTATTAAACTTATTACTCAGAGGTTCTTTGGGTCTCTGATTACGAATCCGATTTCAGATTTTAAAATTTCAAAATGGCGGATCCAATATGGCGGACGACATTTATGAAAATTCATCGGATTCACTTGAAACTTGTTACTCAGGAGTTTTCGGGGCCGCTGATTACGAATCTAGCATCAGATTTTTAAAATTCAATGTAGTGTTTTCAATATGGCGGGCGCCATTTTTAAAAATTCCTCGAATTCACTTGAAACTTGTAACTCAGGGGTTTTCGGGGTCGCTGATAACGAATCCGATATCAGATGTAAAAAATTTAAAATGGCGAATCTAATATGGCAGGCGCCATTTTAAAAAATTTATCAGAATAACTTAAAATTTGTTACTTGGGGTTCATTGATGTCGTAGATTAAAAATGTAATATCAGTTGGGTAAGACTCCGTCAAAAAATTATAATTTGCATGCGGTTTTCGGACTATTCTGCAATTTGGAGAAGTTGTTATATTTGATGACAAAAATAAGTGTACCAAAAGTTTTTTAAAAATTTTCAAAATTGTAAAAGTTACGCCATTTTGAATTTTTTTATAAGATTTTTTTTAAATGTGAATATTTCCGAATCAATATAATGGATTTTAATCAAATTTAAATATGTTATACTTAAAATCATGTCCTTTCAGAATTTTTCAAAAGAAATTTTTTTTTACAAAAAAGTATAAAAAAAAATTTTGAATCCATTTATTAAGCACGGGACCGATTTTTGAGTATTTCTCGATATATAATAAAATATTTCTTATAATTTCACCTTTCATTTAAAAAAAACGATGGAGACTTTAATAGTTTTCGAGATATTGCAATTTTTGTGAAAGCGCGAAAAACGTTTCAGTGCCAGCGCAGTATCTTTTACCCGGGACGCCTCATAGTGGGATTTTTTTACACTTTACTCTTCAAAATTATCTAGAGCCTACTAATTTTATTGGATTTTGATGTTCTTGGTTTCAAATCAAAGGGGATAAAATTTCTAAGAGATCCCTTGAAACCGATTTTTGAATTTTAAATTGTTTATTTATTTTTCTGTTACTCAAAGTTAACAATTTACAATATTTATGTAAAAAATACTGTTTATTTTTTATTTTTCCATTGCACAAGATCGAAATCAATTTAAATTAGTCTAGTATGACCACTTGACAAATAATAATGCATAATACAGTTTATTTAGATTGTTAAAAAAACAATTTTAATTAACAAATACATAACTTTAGTCTTTTTTTGAATTGTTTTTTTTGTTGACAAATTTATGTTTATTTAAGTAATGTATGTCTATTTTGTAAAAAAAATGATTTTAAAGTTAATAATTCTCATTGTTATTAATAATTATATAACCAATAATCTATTTTCTTTTGCATTTATAAACATTTCTAGCATTTTTTAAACTTAAAATGTTTATATCATTTGTACATTCTTTCAAAAACTTTAAAAAATTTATTGGCTTAAACAATTACACTTGTTATTAACAAATTATTAACTTTAAAATAATTTTTTTTACAAAATGTAAGTAGAGTGGCTCAGCAATGGTTCACGAATCTGATTGGTTAGGGGGCGTGGCTTATTTATAGTTCACGAATCTGATTGGTTAAGGGGGCGTGGCTTATTTATAGTTCACGAATCTGGTTGGTCGAGAGGGTGTGGCTAAGGGGCGGGGATGAGCGTATGTGTAGGAATAGTTCAGAGCTGTGATTGGTTGAATTATGGTTCATGGATCTGATTGGTCGAGAGAGTGTGGCTAAGGGGGAGGGATTAAACGCCCGGTGAGGAATAGTTCAGAGCCGTGATTGGTTGAATTATGGTTCATGGATCTGATTGGATGTGGGTGTGTCTTGAAAAAATAGAAAGTAGTGAGTCAAAGATGGAGTCGGAAAAGTGGAGGTGAAAATTAAAGTGTAACGAAATAAAATACGTAAATTTCAAAAAGGTAAGTTTATTGTACTACTAATTAAATCTATATTACATATTAAGAGAATAAAATTATAAAGTGTATTTTATGAATTATGTGTAATACATGATGTTGTACATGTTTGATGTGTATGTGTGTGTGATGTAGAAGTATGGTTACAATTATGTTTAATTTTTAATGTTTTTTAAAAATTAGAAGCTATATAATCATTTTTTAATAAATTATTTGTAAAAAGTAAGTTAAAGTCGAGAAGAGAATAGTTAAAAGACATATAATAAAGAAACATAATACAAAATTGGCCACAAACAGTCGAAGAGGTACTTTGATATTGTGTTGTGTTCCATCTGAAAAAAGCGCAGTTTCTTCGTAAACAATCCAGATGTTGAGGAACAAAAGGCGGTAGACCATAGCTGTCGAAGTACGTTCCTCGGCCGTCCTTGCTGATGTGTATAGCGACCCAGTGGGTACCAGGTTTAGTGTGGTCATCGGTATTAATAACAATTGCAGACGGTCTTGTCAAAAAATGAGGTATTTTATCAGCAGGATAAACTCCAACGGAATGGTTGTTTATGAGACGTAGACACTGTAGTATTTGTAGACTGTTCATTCTTTGATGTATCAATATCCTCGTAATTGGCGTAAGTAGGAGTTGCGGTAGTTGTAGTCGACACTGGTAAGATTTGAAATGAGGTATCTTGACTATTTTTTACAACCTCTGGAATATAATGAAGAGGTGGTGTTGAGGATACTTCGTTGATAATTTTTAATTTTTTAGAACTGTTGTTACAAATAGATCAAATAACATCAAATACATCTTTTCTGTATTTTTCAATCCAGCGTTTAAGCTTTCTAGCGTTATTAAGAGAACAAATAAAATATTCTTCTTTCTTTACACCGTGGTGAAAACAGTAGGCACGACTATCTGGTAGTACCTTGAAGGAAGGACAAGATAAATTTTCGACATTAATAACTTGTCTACTTATGATTTGTTGTAAAACTTTAATCTTGTCTCGGCCTTTTACGTAAATGTTTCTGGATGTTCTTGCTACTTCACGTAAATTGGCATAAATATGTTTCATAGGTACATCACCATCGAACCATTCAATACCATGATAAAAACACGAAAGCCAATTATTTTGTTGTTTAATGTTGGATGGTAGATCCGAAAATAAGTGTGGTGGTGCAACAATCCAATGTCCAAAAAATTTACGATCCAATGCAATAACAGCTACTTCTTTGATCATAAAATTATCCTCTATATCAAGAAATCCTTGTATGTCTATAACGTAGTCGACCATTTTAAAAACGATCACGAATTTGTATTTTTGTAGAAACTTTTTTCACTTTTGTACCCGACTAGTGTTGTGTGTTCTTTAAAAAGAAAAAGTATACTGAGTTCTGCCTTATATATAGGTTCTGATATAACTGTATTCCCCTTCTCTTCACATTTCCAAAATGTCTTAAGCTCCAAAATCTGTTATAACCTGTCTAGATGCATCAATTTTTAGAACGTTGTCGTATTCGGCATATACAATACAATTAATAGTTTCTTGTAGCATTTCTTCAAAACGTAGTTCTATTCTTAAAGCTCCATGTTTTATAAGATTCCAATGAGAGAAACAATGAGCAGAGAGATCAGGTGTAAGATCAAAGGCAAAAAGGCAGTATCCATTTGCGTAGTCGAAACGATTAATATTATTTCCTTCGTTAAGAAAATGAATACCAGTCCCAGTAAATAAAGTTTGGTAAGCTTCAACATAAAGTTTATCTTTTGAAAAGTCTGTTAATAGTGGTTTAGAAGGTATTTGCATTCCGTCTACGTAGAGTGAAAAGTGGTTGATTTGATAATGTTTAAAGTTGAAAGGGTTTTTATTTCGAGAGCCGTTAAAAGCTGTATTATCGACGAATCCTATAATAATCCTTTTAGGTAGTTGACCAAGTATAACATTATCAAAAGTTTCACTGTGAATACCAGCGTGAAGTGACAAGGCCTTTACCTCTACTCTAGTTATAGGATATTTAGCGGTACCACTAGAGAGAGTCTTGGCATGACCAATTAAAACCCCAGGACTAATTTTTGCTCTACGTACAAGTAAAGAAGCTTCTTCGATGTGTAAGGGAGATACTCCTGTGGGGTCTATTAAACAAAAGGCATCTTTTGAGCGAACAAGTCGTAGTCGTAATTCCACACCGTTAAGTAAAAATTTATCTTGATTAAAAACATCACAATGTAAATGTCCGACCATGTCAATTATTCTAGAATCACTTAGATATTTTCGACGTTCAACTAAACCTTTATTTTCATCACCAAATTCTTCCATTTTACCAGCAGTGTCGTTAGACCATAACGAAGATGTAAGATGAGTGGTTTTTGCTACGTTATTGTAGTTGAGTAAAGTTTCAATGTAGGCTCTATATGCATAAGCGTTATTTGGTGGTGAGACAAGTTTTTGGTTAAAGTAGACATCAATCTGGTTGAACATAGAATGTAATAAATTATTTACTGGGCCTATTTTACTTATGTTGTCGGCATTTTCTGCAGTTCTTGCTGGTACAATTAAACGAACTTTGAGACTGATCATAGTATGAGGAAGATCGATATATTCATCTCCGTGACCAGGAACGACGAATTCTATCGGTGAGTCATCTGTAAGGAATGAAACAGGTTTGTAGTACACCCATTGTGAACTTTCTATAGCTGTTTGAGTTGGTTGTAAAGTAAAAAGATCCAATTCTGATTTTAAACATTCACAAGAATGAGAATGTAAGAAAGACATTTTATTTAAAAGTTCTTAAACTTTACCAAAAATATCAACTTTTGTTCTTCTTTTTGTTTTATATTTTTTAAATTTTTTGGCTTCTTTTTATTTTTTCTGGTTTTTTTCCCTTTCTTCTTTTGTTTTTTAAGAATTTTCTTTTTATGATTCAGATTTTTTTAAATCTTTTTCTTTGTTGAATGTTTTGGACTGTCGATGTGTAGTATGCTACGGTTTGCTAGTAACTGAGCAGGTGGTGATAATCCAATATATTTATAACCAGATCCGTTCATAATGTTTTCTACTTTTTCCATTGCTCGTCGTTTTAAATTTCCTCTAGATTCTTGAAATCATTGTTTCATTGCTTCTTTAAAAGGGACTTTATTTTCAACGTCGTCAATCACTTTGAGCCTCGTATTAAATACTTCTCTACCAACAGCTCTTGCTCCACGCGCTAAGAGTGGTAAAACACGTCGAAATAATCCACCAAGGAAACTACTAATTCCGTGACCTCTTTGATAAGGTGATCCAACATATACTTGCGATACACCACCTCTGCCGACTTGTGAAGTGTAATAATTTTCGTAAATAGACATTTTTCAGAGTTCCTGTTTAGTTGATTTTTTTAAAATGAAGTGTCACAGTCAATGAACCAGATTCAAATGGTATAGAAAGTCCCAAGTTGTCTCTTATATCGATTTCTATTGTCCTAAATGTTGTGTTTAAAACAGGTATGTAATTAGGAGTTGAAAATTGAGTCACTTGAGTTGACCCAAAAATATAGTTTTTGGTGTCTACAGGTACAACTCGTAATAAAGGTGCTTTAACATCACCCGTAATTCTTGGTTCACATACGTCACAATAAACGAATAACTGTTGAGGTATTCCATATGAAAGGCTTGGAGGTTGACACGCTCTCTGTGTATGTAGAGGTATGAGTTCTAAAGGTTCAAAACCCAATATTTTTGAAATTTTTCTGCTGATTACTAGAAAATGACGTCCAGGTATGACACATTTCTCAGTACAGGTTTTTTTAGTAGTACATAACGATTATTGTTATCATCATATTCAAATTGAAAGTGTTCCTAAAGAGAAGGTGTATTGTTTATAGCATATAAAAGACTTTGAATATCTTTGTAAATACCTGGAGGAAAAAAAGATACTAAAGGTTTTAACCATTCTCTATGAAGTATTTCGTAACCAGTGTTGACATTATTATTGATAGAGTGGCACTTATCAAATGTAAAACTCTTTTTTAGAATTTTTAATGGTAGAGAGTATTTTTCTAAAACTGATAAGCCATTAAATTCCTTATTATCGGATAAATTGAAAAACTCATATTTTTCTTTTGGTTTATCTAATTTACCTTTTTGGATTGATAAAAGCACAATTCTATTTTCTAGTTAAAATTCAGTACGTACATGAAGAAATGATCGTGGGAATTGAATTTCAGTGATGGCTACAACCCATTTTCATTGTAAACGTATTTCTTGTGGTAGCTGCGTAGTGAAATTTGTAATGGTGTTATTAGGAAAATATTTCATACTACTATCACTAGGTAGTAGAATATAAAACTGGTCGTGGTTCATTCTAAAGATTTTATGGCAGAAAACGGAATCCAAGAATTAAATTTAGCCGGATAACCAGCCCACTTTACATAAGCTTCTTTTCTTAAACCTCTTCCGCGGGTATGTATTATTTTTTTAACAATAAACTCGTCATTGTTTAAGTCTTTATTTTTAACATCAGCTAATTCTTGTTCGTAGAAAACACCATCAATTTTTTCTCCAGATAGATCCTCTAGTTCATAAACAGTGGGTGAATATTCTCTCCAATTTATAACACGCGTTATAACAAATAATTCTTTTGTCCATCCAGCTTCATAACCTTTCTCAAAGGTTCCTCTAGCACGACTGACACGTACCAAATCGCCAACGCTGTATTTACATCTTTTTTTAGCATATCTCTGTATCGGGAAGCGTTTTCGAATATTTTCACGTGCTATTGACGAGTTGTAGAATGTAACATCTGAAGGACACATATTTATGCTAGAATGATGTGCATTATTGTAAGCAGTAACTAAATCTTGTAAGACATCTAAATAACAATGTGTATTTTTATGTGTAAAATATCGCCACATACGTTCTTTTAAGGTTCTGTTGAAACGTTCTACAACAGCTGCTTTTACAGTTGGATCTCTAGCAACTCGAAATTTTATATTCTTCTCTATTAAAAATTTCTGAAAAGATGCACCGACAAATTCTTTTCCCTTATCTGTTTGAAGACATAACGGTATACGATTTTTATTATTTCGGAGAATTCGTTGAAAGCCATTTTTTACTTCTGACACTGTTTTATTGTGTAATGGTTCAACCCAGGCAAACTTACTTAGTACATCGATTACAACTAGAAGATAAGCATAATTTTTGTTCGTTTTTTTTAAAGCTTGTAAATCCACCAAGTCAGCCTCCCATAAACTGTCAATAGTGTCAACATTATAGAAAGCTCTAGGAAAAAAAGCTTAGAAAAAGCTTAGAAAAGCTTAGAAAAGAAAGCTCTTTTTCTTGTAGGTCTATGTAAATTATAAGCATCTTGTCCTTTTAGCCAATCTACAACATTTTGTTTATTTGCTTTACCGTGTACTAATTTTACAATTTTATTTGCCCCAGAGTATGAAGCAGGGTGTAATGGATCGTAATATATTTCATGCAAATTCTCCATTTTATATTCTAATCAAAAGAAAAAGGTAACCAACTAACTTTTACAATTTTTTTAATTTTTCCTTCTTTGTTATCAGACCCTGTAGAATCGTCGTCAGTAATAATGTCTTCTTTCGATTTTAAATTTTTTG